AACCTAACAGGACAAATCTCAAGAGGACGCAGGAGCAGGGTTTGGAGGAGCATTCATTGATGCATGCATTCATTCTATTGAATATCTATTGTACAAGTGAAACATCTCCATGTTTCGTTAATGGTGTTTATCAGCCACCAAAATTTTCGCTTCTTCCTGTGCATTGAATCGCAATGGCATCAACAGTGGCACGCCTCATCCAGCTCCGTCTCCATGGTCCTTGCTGGTGCCTGCAGCGACTGCTAGACTAGTTCAAGTCATCAGAACAGGACAAACATGATTGATGATATCTTTCTGTGGACTGTGTGTGAACACCAAAAATGGCATGCATTCTCGAAGCGCACCTCCGGCTGTTTGTCCATCACCCCCCCGTCCAACTCTTTCTCAAGCGCAGCTGTCACCTCCACTAAAATTTGACTTTCGTTTCCACGTTCCACTCTCCAGCAAACACAAGACGTTTCACGCCGACACTTGCATAGTTTGGAGATCATAAGAGTAGCCACTGATGTCCAAGTTTGTTCATGTTCCAGGCACTTTGGAGCTGTTCTGCTCGCTTTGGAATCAAATCCACTGTCATGCACGAGTAGTTTTCACGGCTGCCACCTCTGCATCAATGCACATGACCGGCCTCGTCAAGCTCGGTCTCGCTTTGCAAAGTTGCCTTCAGAACTTGGGAGGTAAGTTTCTACTCTGTCTGTTCTGAAAGTCCTACATGAAACTCTTGAAACAAGTCTCAGTTTCACCAAGTACATTATACATGCCCAATTCTGGCACGTCTATGCTGTTCCAAACCTCCGGGTCTTTGTCCAACTCTTTCTCCGGAGCAGCTGTCACCTACGCCAAGGGCTGCTCTCAATTTCTTGCCGAAAAACAATTCCACAACCTAACAGGACAAATCTCAAGAGGACGCAGGAGCAGGGTTTGGAGAAGCATTCATTTCATTGATGCATGCATTCATTCTATTGAATATCTATTGTACAAGTGAAACATCTCCATGTTTCGTTAATGGTGTTTATCCGCCACCAAAATTTTCGTTTCTTCCTGTGCATTGAATCGCAATGGCATCAACAGTGGCACGCCTCATCCAGCTCCGTCTCCATGGTCCTTGCTGATGCCTGCAGCAACCACGTCTGCAACATGTTGTCATCCATTGTCATTGGAACATCACGCATACGTGCAATTGCCTTTTTGAATTTACGACCGCTTTGTGTATGTATATATAAACCGTATGTAAACCAAACAAATCTCGTGCCGCCAGGCCTTCGCCGGCTGCGTGCCATCCATCCCGTCAAAAAATGCCTAGACACCTAATCTAGCAAACCATGAAAATGGCACACTTGCAGAACAATACAACGATTTGTGACCTAGTTGTTTCCAAACTTTAGTGGCATAAGTGGTTGCGGCATATTTTTGTTGGCACACTTCAGGTTTTCACAGTTTGAAATGTCTTGAGCACGGCTAGTTGGTGATCCGATGAGGTGACATTCATTGGTACGTTCTCTCGCTGACAGACATTTGTGTTGTACGATGACAATCTTTCCGGCATAGAATTCGTTTCACTTGCATGCTGCCGGCAACTGACCTTGTTTGATCACACATTATCCTTTGGTCAAATCACCAAGCCAAGAAGCTCCGGTGCCAAGCGCAAGTTCTCTTCAAATTGGAAACTATTCTAGAAGATTAAAAAAAACTATTTTCCGGGTACGGGACAAATAAAAGATTAAGTTCTGCAGGTTGTCCTCGTCAACAAAAAGCAAGCTCTTCTT